GTAACACGGTAACCTTTTGTATAATTCGGCATTTATCCTGTTTAATTGTGCCTATAGTCTATTGACCGTGTAGCTCAAATAAACACTAAACGATAGGTGGCGAACTATTTACCATTTACTATCTTCATGAACATTAAATAAAACCCACCATTGTCCTATCATTATATAAAAGAAACCATATCACCCAATTAGTACATCAATCCTCAATGGGTTCCTTAAAGAAAATAGATAAATCTAAAAATCACTTACAAAAAACAACAATGTTTGGCCATCTTTGAAAATTAATCGTATTCACAGTACAAAAAAGCACAAAATGAATCATAAATATGCATCTAATACATAATTTAAATCTGCATCGAAATTATCCACATCTACCTCTACAATTATGAAAGATTTGCCTTGAAATTACCTACATCTATCATTATAAATTATAGTAGATAATCTAGTAAACACTTGAATTTGTATCTACATTACCAACCTTAGCCACTTCAAATTATTTATAAATTACAATATCTAGTATTATAAAAAATAAATAACCATAAAGTGTAGTTATATATGTTTCTAAATACCTACTTCTACAACTATTAATATATGAAAACAGTTCAAAAAATAGACATGATATTAAACCGTATATATATGCATGAATGAGTAACAAATATATACTTCAATAGTTTAGCAATCCAAAAAATTACCTTAACAAATCACATGCTAACAACATTGAAAATTCATTTTAATCTACTTGTAACCATAGGTACTTTAAAAAGATGTTTAAAGACATTTCCATGTGGTACCCATGCTTCCACAAACTCATGAAATTAGGCTAATTCACCCAAAATTCAACAAGTCTAAGAACAACGCCAAGAGAGAATGAGAGTAAACAAGGAGGAACAAGATTTGTCTCCCAAAGTTCGGATCCTATGCTAGTTCTCAAACATTTGCCTCACCAAGCAATCGCAAAGGCCAAGCTTGTGGACCCGAGGTTAATCCATAAAAAGTGCCCCCACAACCTTAGGTGCTCGCATGTGACATCTAGATGCAAGGACAAACCACCAAGAGAAATAAGTGTAACAGAGACTTGCTAGACATAGAATTCAAGTTCTCAAAGATGAAAATGAAGCTCGCAAGCAATCAGGCTTCCAATCTTACAACCCATGTCACATGTCTTCTAACACTAGGCCAAATTGGAGCTGAAGAGCAAAAAATTGCTTGAGCAAGAAAAGTAAGTTAACCTGAAAATCGGTAGGAACTTATGACTTCCTCCAAAGAATTAAAACTTCTATTACATGCGAGGTGTTTTCATGTCTCTCGGCTTTCACCCAAATATGTACTTTGAGAACCTCATGTCCCTCGTCTTTCACCCAAATATGTACTTTGAGCACTTATACATCTTCAGGTTGTTCTACATGCATTGTCTTTACAACTTGACATACCTAGACTTATTTTTTTAGAAAAAAATAACTGTCAAATCCATCAAGTGGACCAAAATGATACTTTTGTTTCTTTTTTTTGCCCACTAAGGCCCTTTATGTTCTTCAATGCGATCATTTATGCTCATAAACTTATTAGTTCCTTAATCATTTGTCGTCACTTTTCAAAACCTACATAGGGTGCATACATGCACTTTCAACGGTTCTAGTAGCATCAACACACAAATTTTCATCACCACGCTGAAGCGCCATCCAAGATTCAAGTGGCTCATCAGCAATATAAGGTTAGGATTTTACAAGGAAGGGGGGTTTCACCAGATGGAAGGTCATTGGGGATAGACATTACTAGCAATGCTTTCTTGTGTAGGGATAAGAATGGAGGTGAGAGTGATACTGCTGGCTGGCAGGGGGGGAGGGGAAGGTACGGAGAGGGCAATGACTACATCCTGAGGGCCATTTATTAGGCTGTCGTTTGGTACTAAGCAAGAACCTACACCGTGTGTGGCAAGGAGGTAAGGGCAAAATGATTGGCTAGTGAGAGGAAGAAGAATAAGACATTACGATTGGATCATTCAATGGTGCTCGCTCCTGCAGCCAAGAGGTCACACACTGGGCACCAAGAAAGATTATTACTCCGTATTTGGTAATTTATGAGATATGGTGAAATAATAACAGGTTTGACACTAGTCACTGAACTAATAATCCATTTTACTTGATAACTAATTTTGACTAAGCTTCCATTTTGGAATATTGAGATACTTGCAATTATCCGTATCAATTCCAAGATCAAACAAAACTTTATTATATGCCTATATCTCTCCTAACCTTCAAAATATGTTATTTTAGTGGACATATAATATTCAGAGAAAAAATGACCCCCACATCGTTGTATCTACCAAATAATGAAACAAGCTAGAGTGTGGTTTAGTAAATTGCTCAAATTATTTACGAGTATTATTTTTATTAATGTTCAGAATTATACACAAGAAAACTTAACAAATACCACTACAAGATCTTAACTTCTGCTCAGAGTTATATGCAAGATACCTACTATATGATTTTAAAAGATCACAAGTGGCTGAAGGTGTTTCAAGTATAATCGAGACATATCTGAGGTGAATGCAAATCACCGCCAAAACATTACTTACTAGAATTACCGATAGGAGTCCCAGTATATTATTGGTAACACAATATATTGTACCTTTAATAACTTGAATATGTAACTCTTAGAAAAAGTTTATTATCTTTGTATAGTATGATGTTGTGCAACTAACTTTATATATGAAGCTGCTTTCATGACATCTATCAAAATCATTTTACGCAAAGGATCATTCATGCATATTTGGTGGAAAAAGTTCTAAATGTTTTTTTGTTTTCTTTTGTTGAGTGTGACATATATGTATGCACACTTCACACACTCACGTAAATAGACATCCTTTTAAATTTGCAATAAAATGAAAAGAATGTAAACCATGAAAACACAAGTTCATATGTATGTAAAATATATACGAGGACCAATCACGAGTACATGAAGCATTTTAGCTCAGCAAAGGGGAAATGATTTGTCCATCTGATATACTAGAAGAAAACCTCACATTGATGCATGGTTTTCTTAGAAATAAAATTATTGCATTATCATGAGATATGCTACTGAAACTTGACAAGCTAATGAAAGAATAAAATAAAACGTCTATAGAATATAAGATTGAATCATAGGAGGGTGTGACGGCTGTGTGACGGCCAAACAAATAGTATAATATGGATGCCTTGTGTGTTGATATACTGAAAATAGTAATTGCATTTAGTGGAAGAAGATAGTGTAGCACTTATTAGGGGATGATATGGCGCTCAATGAGATATAGCATATAATTAAATAGCTTGTATACGGAGATTGAAAAGTTAGGACTTTATCTTTATAAGAGATATATGTTGATATACTGAAAATAGTAATAGCATTTAGTGGAAGATGGTGTAGCACTTATTAGGCAATGATGTGTCGCTTAGTGAGATATATTATATAGATAGCTTGCATGCAGAGATTGAAAAGTTAGCGGGGTTTGTCTGTATAAGAGATATAGATATAGATATAGATATAGATGTAGATGTAGATGTAGATTATACCACATGGCAAAGCAAATTGTTGCTCAATAAAAGTTTACAACTGCATACAAGTATTTTTTTGAAAGTTTAGATGTATGCCATGAGAAATATGGTATGTTTGTGTGCTCACATAACTACGAGAAAGAAATCAAACAAGACTTTGGGGTCCTACAAATGGTATGTCATGCAATTTTGTTCAGCCAGTGTGCGCCGTTGTCCGATGATGCTAATAGTGGAAACTGATCAGTACATTGGTATCTTTTTGCAAAGATAGTAGCATAGAGATTGTAGTAGTGGTTCAATCCATTCTAATAAAGTGGGAGGACCTCCATGATTATTCCCTAACAAACTAATGGATATGAGCACCTAACAAAGATTGAATTACAGACCTTAAAAATGACACAAGCGACCACGTGTGTATCATGGTCCGCGGGCATGATGTCTACCACTGAAATATAACGTCGTTAAATTCTAAAATAAATACACTAGAACGTCAAATTTTAGACCTGAAATTGAGTAGAATAGTTGCACCACAAGAAACCTAAGCTCATAGTAGTTAATATGAAAATATTACTAAAATAATAAAGCTTTTTCGCCAATTTAATTTAGTTGATATTTATAATGCTGTCATCTTATTAATGAACAAAATAAGAATATATCTCCATGTTAGCAACTTTACCACATTGGAATCTTGTAGATTCCATCAGCATATAATTTGTTTATTTCGAAAAAAGGAACAAGGTTCATTATAACAAACCCGCAATGTTTTTGTCCGTTTGAAATATCCGTCATAATTTTTGTGGTAAAATTTTGTAGCTTCGTAAATTTGGAACCCAAAGAATGTGCTTTTCTTAAACCCCATATAGGAATTCTATCTATGCTGCGTTTGTTTATTCTCCAACACCTTTTGTCCGAGCAGTGGCCGAGTGAAAGATGCGAGCTGAACCTACTATATATATTTCTCTACGGTGGATTTATTTATATATTTTAGAAGCACAAAGGCCACGAATTTCTTATCTAAAATTTATCTGGTCCTGCGTTGAAGAAGCTCCGGAATCTTAGCACCTTTTTGGGCATCACCCCTGGACATTCTCGTCCACCAACTGCACACAGCCTCTCATCCCATTAGCCCGGAAACAGCAAAAACCCTCCATGAAAAAAAGTATTAATTAATAAAAAGATAAAAAAACGGAGAGCCCCGAATTAATTTCGTGAGAGAGACTGTGAAGTGGGTCCACATGCAGTTAATAATTACTAACCCCTCACGTTTCTTTCCTAAAAACATCCACCGGTTAACAGGGATCACTCCTCGCGTTCGTGGTCACGAGGGAGTCGAGGGCCACCGTTGGATCCGACGGCGCGGCAGGCGCGTCCGCTCCCCCCCACTGACGGCCCGGATCTGCGGCACGTGTCCCGGGCGCGAGGACGCCTCTTCCGCTGTAATAAGCCGGGACAGGCGCCCGCTGCCGTCGGATGGGCCACGTGGACGCCGCGGGAGGGCAGAACCGGTCGTTGGGGCGGGGCCGCGTGGGGTTTAACCGGGAGCAGCCGGTGGCGCTCCTCCCCGGGATGGCGTGGGCGTAAGCGTAGCGAGGTGCGAGGCGGGGTTGGGGGGGTTTAAGAAGGGGGTTGGTTTTGAGGGGTTTTGCCAACCCACAACACCGCACCACGCACCTCCACGACCGGAAGAAAAAACCAAGGCGGAGGGCGGAGAGGAGAGCAAGGAGGGAGAAGGGGGAAAAGGGAAGGAAATAAAAACAAAAGAGGAGAGGCCAAGCAAGGCGAGGAGGAGGAAGAGGGAGCACCCCAGAGGCAGGGGAGGGGGGAATAATTCCGCAGGGGTCGAGGGATCTCGGCGGGTCCGGCCGCGGAGGAGCACCGGCGATCCGAGGGCGATCGGAGGCGGGCGAGCGTCGACGCCGGCGAGGTGAGCACGGCGTGCTAATTCCGGGGAATTCTGCCGAATTATGCGGTTTTGGGGCTGGGTTTCGTGTTTTGGTGCCCCGCTGTGGGGCGCTGCTGCGTTGGGGGTTTCGCCTCCGCCCTGTTTCGGTGCACTCCTGTCCGAATTTCTGCTTGCTTTGGTCCGATCCGCCGCGCTGTGCTCCGACAAGGAGGTGAATTCGCGTCTTTCTGAGATTCCGGTACATTTCGGAGCCGCGGTTTGAATTCGTGGGGTTTTGCTTAATTTCGCGTCGAATTGCTGCGAATCGGGTGCCGAGATCGGATCTGGCCTCGCCCGATTCACGATTTCCTCGACGTTCTTGCGCGCCTGTGAGGTTTGCGGTTCGCTCTTTCTTTTTAATCGACGTGCCCGCTTTCCTTTTGGCAGTTGCTTAATCCTCACGGATTCCGATGCACGAGGTTTTAAAAAGGTTCTCTCCCCCCCCCCCCCCCCTCCCTCTCTCTCTCTCTCTGCCTTTTGATCGCTTGGCGTACTGGTTTACCTGGCGAATTTATTTGCTTGTGCATTAAATTCAGCGGCGAAACCATTTCGTATAGGAAAAAAAAACATTTCCTCTCTGAGGTCTTAACTCGGATCACGAGTTGAAGTATGAATTCTCTCCATTTCTTCTGCTGTTTCTGTGTTTGCCTAATTAATATGAGTTTTGATTCGCTCTTGGAGCGCAGCTTGTTGAAAATTCTTTTCATTTTGGCCGTTTCACGTCTGGATCTCTCGGCTATCGGCTTGGGGTATTGGGATTCGAACTTTTGGTAATTAATTACTGCAAACGCAGTAGTATGATCGTTCCCTGTTTAATTAATGGAATGGAGGGTTTAAACAAGATTTATCCCAAGTTACTACGGAGATCCCGATGAATGATTTCTTTTTTTTATTCTACCTACTAGTACCAGTTTTCCTTTGCTGATGGCTAATTGGTTCTTGCAGATTTGTGTTGATGACAAGCCATGAACAGCGCAACCACCAGTTGTTAACTAACCCTCTTGTAAACTTCAAGCAACCGAAGCGAAGAGCAGAAATGGTGTTCCAAAAGAGGTCGTCGTCAGAGATGGAGTCGTGCGGTGGAGGCCAAGTCGCGGAGATGCCGCGCGTTCCCAAGTCCGCGAGGGTACGCGGCTTTCAGCGCATCGATTCGGCCCTCGCTTCGCTGCCCTTGGTTGGCAAGTCTGACAAGGATGGCGTTTCTTGTTCGGTGAAATGTGCAGGGCAAGAGATCGGTCAGGAAGAAGGAGGCCCGGAGCCCGGCCCAGATGTCCGCATTCGACCTTCTCGCGACGGTGGCAGGGAAGCTGCTTGATGAGGGGGTGGGCTCGCTTGGGAACATGAGCACCGGTGCCCCGGCCTTGGCTGCGTGCGCGAAGGATGTCCGTGTGAAGCAGGAGCAGTGTGATGAGGAAATGAAGCAGTTCAAGCATGAGGTGACGGATCAGGATAGCTGCAATGAGAGTGCAATTCTCCCCCACATTGCGTTCCAGCGGGCGGCGAATAATGCTCGGATTGAGGATCCTAAGGCAAAGTCTGAAGCCCAGGACAAGGAATCCTCCATGATCAGCTGTACCAAGGCTGAATTGGGTTGTAATTTTGGTGTGATCGCAGACAGGTGGTCGCCTGAATCCGTGGAATCAGGAGCCTTCACAGGAGATGCAGTGGCGAGCCTGATGCCGACGGCCCCAGCAGGATTTCATAAGAATGCACCCGAAATGTATAATTTGCTTGATTCAATGGATGTGGATGCCAAGCCTCCTCCTTTGGTCAGCTCTGACAGCACCGGCGAGATGCCATTGTATGACGATAAAATTCACCGCTCAACCTCCTTACCAAGGGGCCCAAAGGGAGTGGGGGGTTTTGCTGTAGATAGAGATGATGATGACGATAAGTCCTCTGGGTGCACTCATCCGAGCACCACCACTAACAGGGATTTCAGGTCCAATTGTACAGCTGAGTATAGTAGGGTAAGGAAGCTGCTCACTAGTAAGTACAGGAAAGTTGCTCCAGCGAGGATTCACAAATCTGATCTTTCCTACAGTGGTAAGCACTGGAAAATCTTGATCTTCCTTTTCTTTATATTTCAGTAACACTACATTGATGGAATTTGTATTCAAACCAGCTCCATGTAACTTGAATTCATTGATCCCATCAGATGTCGAGCGGAAGCCTTCTTTCCGGAACAAGAAAATGCATTATACACGACAGAGGACACAAAGGAGTACATTCAAGCGGAGGAAGCTCTTTGATCGCCATTTGGTTCTAGCATCTGAATTTGGTGCAGCAAATGGAAAGGGAAACACAAAGGTTACCGGAAGAGACTCTCATGCTGAAGGTTTGTTTTACTTCCACCCAGGAATTTGCTATTCATGTTATTTCCTGTTTTGTTACTTATCTGTTGGTAATGATTCTTCTGCAGCAAACAAGGGGACTACTTCAATGCCATTCCAGAAATCTTGTGTGTCAAATGATTGCCATGGTAAGATTTTACTCCCAAGCAAGTTCATTTAATCTCCACTGTCTATATTTAGTCCTGAGATTGCCTTTATTTCTTGCAGTGAAACTTAGAATTAAGTCTTTTAAGGTGCCTGAACTTCTTGTTGAAATCCCAGAAAGTGCAACTGTTGGCTCACTAAAGGTATGTACAGGACATCTGTTTATTTTTTATGTGCAAAGAGATTATATTTTTTTTAGTTTTTCTGCTCAATGGGTTTTCCTGTCGTTTAATCAGTATTTCCAATGCAGAAAACTGTTCTCGAGGCAGTGACTGCGATTCTTGGAGGTGGTCTACGTGTTGGTGTTCTTCACCATGGAAAGAAAGTCAGAGATGATAGTAAAACGTTAATTCAGGCTGGGATTGGCCAGGATGATATGCTGGACAACCTAGGCTTTTCACTTGAACCCAACTGTACACAAAACCCGCACGTCCAAGCTCCTGAAGATATCAGTTTCCTCGAAACCATTGATACTACCGAACCCCTCGCAAGGTAACAAACCATGCTTCATAATAATTCACTTCATGTTATAATTTGAAGTGCCTTCACCCTGACCCAGATTGGTGAACTTTGTCTGATACAGGATTGCACCTGCTGACTCGTGTTCTAAGCATGGTGAAGTTGATGTATCACAGGAGCTTGCATTAACCCCATTAGCAATGAACTACCAGGGCAGTGATCATGATTCTGTGCACTCCCCTGGGGGTGTCTCATCACCCGATAAAGTGTCCACAAACTCGCGAGCTTTAGTTCCAGTTGCAGCTGCAGATCCCAATGCAGGAGCTGTAGTTCCAGCGAATAAGTCTAAGAGGTCACCAGAGCAGGGGCAACGCAGAATCAGGCGCCCGTTCTCTGTTGCTGAAGTAGAAGCACTTGTGCTCGCAGTCGAAAAGCTTGGAACGGGAAGGTATAGTTTCTTATTCCCCTTATTCGACCTGACAAAGAATTTCTTGGCTTCTGTATTCTTACTGTATAGTTATGGATATCATGTAGGTGGCGAGATGTTAAACTTCGCGCTTTTGACAATGCAAAGCACCGTACTTACGTTGATCTTAAGGTAATAACTGCCAAATGCTTGACTTTGACTTCAACTGAAGACTTAGCAAAATATCTTTGCACTGCATATTCTCGTCAAATCTGATAATTAGTTTCCTCACTGTCCTTTCCTGATTTATTGATTGGTCCTCTTGATTTCCTTTTTTTTGCCGAACCTTTAAATTGCGGATCGTATACTTATGCTTTATGCAAAATCCCTAGTGGGGTTAGGTTACTTGGCCGATTTAACCAATAGTTTGGTGCTTGTGGGTTTTAGGCTCCTCACCCAACAGGAGCGTGCTGATTTTGTGTTTTTTTGTTTAGAAGGTTTCGGGCTTTCGGCCAGACTCTTGTTCTTGAAAAACTTTTGTCCTTGTGATTCAGTTGGTGCTGTCCCCACGCTTCAGCTTTGTAGTTTGGCTGGGTCATGTGGGTTTTAGTACCAGAATGGTTCACCTAGAAACAAAGGAGACCCATTCTTGCACGTCAACTAACCCGATCCGGACTTTAGAAAAAAAGGTCCGGCTGAGGGATCAGATAACCTTTCCTTTATTAGACTGGAAGCTTCTTGGCTGCTTTGCACTGCATTGCTGCACCTGTTGGAAACTGCCTGCATTCTCTGGTCAAATTTTGACCATGACTTTGATTTTGAACAAACGATGAACTAACCGTGTCGAAATTGTGGTGCGAACAGGACAAATGGAAGACGCTGGTGCACACAGCGAGCATCTCGCCACAGCAGCGGCGTGGCGAGCCGGTGCCTCAGGAGCTGCTCGACCGGGTCCTGGCGGCCCAGGCCTACTGGTCCCAGCAGCAAGCCAAGCTCCAGCCTAAGACGCCCCCGCTGGCTGAGGCTCGCTTGCTCACCTAATAATTCGATGATCCCGGCTGATGGCCTCCTCCGAGGCCGTTGCAGCCTTTGTATAAAGTCAGTAAGTCAGTCAGTCCCTTCACAGGAGGTTTAAGGAAGATATTAGAAAAAAAGAATACATATATAAGGTACAAGAAGCATTGACCGATTTGTTGTAATATATACTCACCACCGGTTATTCTTTAAGCCAGGATTCTCTCTCCTTGTGAATTTAACCAAAGGAAAGGGTATTTCTTTGGCAAATTGTACATGTTGATGATGGAAGAAGAAGATGATCCATGAACTGAGATCTGCAGTGTCTACTACTAATGGCTCACAATTTTTGCAATTGTGATTAAGAAATTGAAGGTCCTGCTTAACCAAGCTCTCCGGCTCCAGCTCCAGCTTTTGGATTCACTTGTGAAGTTGTTGCCTCCTTACAGAAGCTGAGAACCCAACAGTGTATTTGGCTTGATATAGTCTCTGACCCACTCATACTGAGGGCCACAGAAGCCGTAAAAGGGCTTCTTTTGTTGAGTTTAGGCTTTTGGAGCAAAGCTCCAGCATCGAAGTCTAGGCTGGAGACGGAGCGAGGCAAAGCGGCACCGAAAGGAAGCCTCAGATTCTTTTGTTCAATTGAATTCATTCTTTCGTTAGTGGAGAGTGACGGAAGGATAGGAGATTAGAAGGGATGGATCTTTGGTTCACTTTTCCTTTTTTTTTTTCTTCTTCTATTACATTAGCTGTATTATGTTATTTCACCAATCTTGTAGTTACCCTCAAATTTGTAATTGATGAAATTAACAAAATGGAAGGAAATACTTTTATACCACTTCGCTACCCTTTTTAAACTACATGGCTCTCATCCAGCATATGATGGGCGTTCCTGTGATTAGTTTCGTGTCGAGACTCAACAGGTGATCCTGCCTGGGATCGGGCCTCGATTAGATGCTTATTAATTTCTTGTCCTGTGTCAGAGTACTGCCGCTGGAGTTTAATTATTGGAGATTCTTATCCATTAGCCGCAATCATAACCCCATGTGCTAAAAGTTACTGACGCCACACCATCGAATAAGTTTGTAACTGCTGCGTTTAACTAGTAGTAGTACTCCTCTCTCCAACTAGCTGTCTCGGATTATTATAATATCAAATTATCAATGTGATTATGTGAATTAGCAAAACCAGGAAGTTGACTTGGAGTCCTGCATGTTCATACTACAAGCTGTTTAAATGCATTGCGATTGACATATTGGACGTGTTGAAAAAAATAGGCATTTATAACATTATATTCTGAATATAAATCATGACAGAGATAGTATCTCTATACACGATTGCAATACTAATTAAATAGAGCATGCTATTTTCATAAATTAGCATAGAAACAAACATGTAGTATTGAAAGCAATAGAACAAATCATAACTTAATGGTTTGAAAATTATACCTTTGAGGGGGATCGGTGCCGGGGCACCAAGGGCGTTATTACTCGAGTCTAATCGAGTCTCCTTGATGTAGTCGAACTCAACTAATGCAGTGGAGGAATTTGATGACTAGTCGTCAGAGCAGTAACATAGCATCGTCTGTTTTGGCTAGAAGGCAACCTATTGTAAGACCAGTGGCGGATCTATGATTGGGACAAAGGAGGGGCTGAACAAAGAAGATTTAGGACTAAAGCTAAAAATTAAAGGTGAATTCACACTAAGCTACAGTAATTAATGAAGGATTAAGGCAGCTTAGGGGGGCTGTAGCCCCGGCAGCCCCCCCTTAGATCCGCCACTGTGTAAGACCCGTTATGAACAACACAAGCACGTGCAGGAGACCCGTTATGAAGAACACAAGCAGTCGTGCTTCAAAAAAAAACTTATCCGTACTTTTCTGGTGTAGTACACGTTCAGTTCGCTCGTTGGTTTCAGTTAGGGCTTATCAGCCAGTCAATAGTATTTTTCTCTCACAACAAACCAGCACCAGTCGGGCTTATCAGCCCAGAAACCAACCAGCAAACAGACTCGTTAAAGATTGCGAGGAGTCAAGTGAAGCGCTTCAAAAAAACCTTATTTGTCGTCTCCAAGAGAGAAGAGAGGAAGAAAAATCTAACTGGTTATCTATCCCAGGTGGAGTTGGTTCATATTATACATATACGATAGTAGAACCGTCTACTTTCACATCAACTATATCCTACGTGCCATCTCTAGTCGTAACATTAAAACCCATTAGGAACATATACATGCCTTTGAAATTTATTAGAATTCTTACATATATGGGCTACGGGACTAGCATATTATATATATAAATCTTAATAGTAGAAGGATATATATATAATAATAATAATAATATACAATTGTGGTTACTTGCAAAGATTTCAAAGGTTGAAACCATTGACCTCTGACCCTAAGGGGAATGGGCAAAAATCAGAATCTGTTCGGCTGGTATTAAAACCAATTGATAAATTAGTTAAAGTTATTTTGTTAGGAGAGAAAAATACTATAGATTTTCAAGCGAACAGACCCGCGAGTCCAGGCCTTGTGGGCAGTACGCAGTAGATCCCTTGAAGCACGCACCACCCATCTGGCGTAGCTAGCTGTTCCGTATACTGAAAGAATACCGCGTATTGGTTGGCGTGTGATGATTGGATTGGGGGAGCGAAAGCCAGAATATTCCCCCATGTGTGGAAACGGTGGCGTATAAAGGATTAGAAAAGGTACAGGCAAGCAAGGCACAGGAGAGACGCAACGCAGGGTCGACGAGCGACGAACCGGCAACTGATACCAGGCTGGATGCGACTCCTAGCTGTTGCTTGGAAGCGAGAGAGAGATCAGGAGGGGAACACCGACACCCATGCCTTGCTTGGCCCTGCGGCCTGTGCCATTGGCCACAGAAAGCCCACAACAAGGCTTTGTGCTAAAACAATGTCGCTAGCTTAGCCGCTTAGGTCCATGCAAACCTTTTTATGGCCAGATGGATGAAGCATTAGTTGGGATCAGATCAGATCACGCCGGATCATGGCGAGTTTTGGTGCTCGTGTTCCTTCAGTCCTCCTAATGCGCAGGCACAACCAGCTGGGCCCCAGTAGCTCCTCCATGATCACTGCTCGCACGGGACTGTCTGTGGCCACTAGGCAGGACGTGTGGGCGAGACGGCTACATGTATCGACCTCATTCATTCATTGTTCATCCATCGGCGCGCCCATACCCAACGTGCACCTGTCACACCTCTCTACCTCTGCGTGCATGTCCGTGTATCTCTCTCCCCCGCATTATCCTGAGACGAGTTAAGTATATGGATTGATTAAGCACGGAACATGCGAGTGTTTTGAGGCTGATCCGATGGGCAGCCGGCCGGCCGGCACCGCGCACGCCATGTTCGCCTCCATGTGGATGGGATGGGGCTCCCCCCACGCATCTGACCGCGGTTTGGTCGCCCGGAGCTTGGCTCGTTTCCTGGCGAACGCTAAACGCCAACGCACGCAGGTCGGCGGGCGGAACGGCCGAACCGGAGGGCGGGCTCGTTCGTTGCGCGGCAGCGTACGGCACCCCGCAGCCCCGCGCATGTGATCTGGGCGGCGTGCCGTTTGCCGGTGCGGGCAAACGGTTAGTGTTAGGCCCGCCGGTCCGGTGACGTCTCTGGCGACGCAGCCGTGACGGGATTGTGCGTTCAGCGGGAGGAGAGGTGTATTTGAGAAATTTGTACTGTTGTTGAGTGTTGATCATTAGGAAACGAAAGGAAATCACACTGTTTCTACATATTTTTTGAGCTGCCTGACGGTGCAGTCTTGTTAGATTTGATGGGAACACTCAAATATTTATGATCCAATACTACTATACTATTGAAATGCCCTGTGGATATGCCTTTATTTACATACAAAGCATACAGGCCTAGCATGTTGCTAGTTGCTACAGGTCAATTGAGAGCGTAGTAGTTGGTGGCGGTGGTGGGTGACGATGGCTACAGTGGCGTATGCTTACCACATTACCAACTGGTCCACGGTGGCGCGCTCCATTGCTTTCTTTTTCTTTAATTATCGCCCACCAACCGCGTTGGTGCGGATTGACATTTGAATTTGTCTCGACGCCAGCGAACAAACCCTTGCATTGCAGCAGGAGTTCGATTATTGGTTTCAGCCAGAATTTATTAGCTAGTTAATATTATTTTTCTCTCACAATAAATTAGTATCATTCGGGTTTATCAGCCCACAGCAAACAGGTTCTATAACTAGCCGCCGATCTGAGGATTTATATATTCTACAAGAAGAAAAAAACACACCCCTAGTACTACGGCTACTTTGGCCCCGTTCGGCTGGTAAAAAAAACATATATGGTTTATGCTAAAAAACACTGTTCTAAGTTTGAGTCCGAGTTGGGCAGGTAACTAAGAGAGAGGTGGCGCTGGCGCGGAGGAGAGGGACACGTGAAGAAGACGAACCCCGTGGTCTTTAACAGACGGCTGCGAGTGGTTTGCTCGCAACTCCCAACCAACGACGAACGCACAAGGTTTACCTGCTCGGCCGGTAACCTATAGCTTGACGCGCTTAAAGATAACGACGAAGTAATGCTAGCACTAGGTAAAACCAGGTAGCGATAGATAGGCTTGAACAGATGACTTTGTTTGCTTCTGGTTAACCATCCATGGGGGGTGGTCGCTGTCAGTGGTGGCCTCTGGATTAGCGATTAGCTTATCTATATCTACTATATGCACGCACGAGAAGAGCATGGTGTTTGATGGAAGCTTCTCACGCGTGCGGCACGCGGCGGCGATGCGAGCGGAACGCAGTTCTTTGACCCGCCCCGCATCGACCGGCGGACGGAGCAGGACGATTTGGACTCGCCCATCGCGTTCGCACGCTAGGTGCCTGGCGAGCCGGGTACGCGTTGTTGGGGTACGACGACGTGTTCGGGGGCGCTGGAATGCTGGATGCTTCATGCCGCGTGCTGGCTGCTGTGGTGTGGCACGAGTCATGACGCTTGTGTTTTCTTTTTCAGACCCAAAAGCGCGACACCTCTCTATGATGATGGCTTCTGGAATTTGTTCTACTCATCTACTCTGTTCGATGCGTATTCGTCCGCCAGGCGAGCTGCAGAATGCTTTTGCCGTTTTTTTTTTTGACATTCAGTTGTTTTTATCTCTCCTATCAACTGAATCTTCTAGCTATATTTACATTGTCTTATTACTAGATTTATAATGATTTCTTCAGTGTAATTTATTGAACACGGTGGTGTAATTTGGAGATAATACAAATATATACCAAATTTTTAGAAATATTTTCAAATTATTTTTATGAATTGCAGATATAAGATAAATATATTTCAAATTATTCACAAATTATTCATAAATTTCAAAACAAAATTTTCCCAAATTGTGGTGGGACCCACCTCCCCAACCTTATCCCTTCCGTCGCCTGCGCACTTCCCTTCCCTTCCCTTCCATCGAATGCGCACGCAAACAGAGTCCGGAGAAGAAACAGCAACGGTGATCCCGCCTGGGGGCGGCCCTCCTCGTCGGCCTCCTCATAGCCGACCATCAGCCCTCCTCGTCGCCCTCCTCATAGCCGGTCGTCGGCCCTTCTCGTCGCCGACCACCGGCCCCACCCCGCACTCGCCGGGCCGCGCGCCCGCCATGGCCGGGGCCGTGAGCTCTGAGGATGGCCGCACCTGCTGCCTCGCCTGTTCGTCGGCCGCGCCCCCTGCTAGCCGTCCGCGTAAGATCAGATGATCCAAAAATTAGTTGAATGGAGATGCCAAATCAACCGGTTGAAGTTTAGCAGTTTTTTTTTCTAAGGAAGCACGATGCAAAACCTTGACCTGAACTCCGACTTTCTTATAATAACTATACCGAAAATATGGACAGTCGTACTTGCATCGAATGGTATTTGTATACGAAACAAATGTACCAGTCTCCGTGGAAGATGTATTCGGTTTGCCAAACTGAATCTTTTTCGCAAACAAATTATTCCCGTTCTTCAACAACGAAAACAGCGCAACAGTGTTACTTTCGGCCCAGAATAAGGTGCCGCCCTCAAATCCTCGCAGACCCAGGCCCAGGTCCAGGCCTGAGGCAGAGAAGAGGGACACGGCTGCTTGCAATGGGCCTATACACCGACTAGGCGACTATTTCTTCCAAAGTCGTTTTCCCCTCTGAATTATAAAGGGGGTGTCTGACATGGCTCCCTCTGTGGGGCTCCTCTTGTTTTGGAGGAGCCAAACATGACTCCTCCGGAAAAATATTTGGCAGGGCTCCTCTTGAGGAGCCAGAGCTAGAGCCAGTGAGGAGCCCTAAAGGCCTGTTTCGGGAACATGTTTTTTTCCCATGTTCCAAACAGGTCCCAAGTTTTTTTTCTCAAACTTCAAAACCAAACTACCTGCTGTCTCGAATCTCGACTTTCATCAAACAAATTATCAGATTGAAGAATGGTTAACATGTTGAACAAACTGCTCCTAGTTCACGCGAATTGTTGTTCTATGTTTCTTAGGACAAAACAAAGTTCACTTGAAAATGGTACGTTGAAGAGAAAATTATTTCTAGTTTATGAGAAAGTTATATCTTTGAGTAATGCTAGTGCACGGACATCCGATGAGGGTTAATTCCATCGGACGCCCACCTGCATGCCTGACCCGCTCCCATCCGCGCACCCCGCCCCCATCCCCATCCGTTCACCGGCCACCGGCTCGCCGTGCCCCCATTTCCCGGCGCCCCCTAACTCTCCGAACAGCATGAAACACGTACAACATGAAACACCTAAAACATACACTTACAGCATACGTATGTAAACATATGCAACATCCAGATAGAACACTTGCAACTTGTAACACGAAAACACTTGCTGCAACAGAAGACTAAAACAGATGAAACATTTTGGAAAACGCGGTTACAACATATGTGTGAAAAACATATGCAACATCCAGATCAAAACACTTGCAACACATTCTCAAAATAGATGAAATATTTTGAGCAAACGCTTGAACATGCCTCTGAAACACTTACAACATATGCAACATGTGCAACATCCCTCGATCTACTTTTGCAACATCCATATGAAATAATCGCAACATACCTCTAAACACCTCTAAAATAATTGAAACATGCATTTGCAATATAGGGGGATAGAGGCTGGACCGGTCGATTCCAGCTGATGGGGTGGGAGCCGACGACGAGCGGCTGCGCGCGAGCACCACCGCCACCAGTACCGGGCTTGGCTTGGCGGCGATGGTGGGGGTAGGGGGCAAGGATTGCCATGGCTGCCGGGGTGGGGGGAGCTCGGTCGCCGGGGTGAGAGAGGGTGCCACTAGGGGTGGGGAGGGCGCCGCGCCGAGGTGGGGGAGAGCCGCCCTTTCCCCTGCAACACCGCCGCGCTCACCTCCATGGTTGTCGCGAGGGGGCAAGTGGATCTCGCCAGGGTGGAGGAGAGGGCCGTCGTATCTGTAGGCGTTGGGGGCTCCCGGTGGGGGAGGACGCCGAGCGTAGAAAGGGGTAAGGATGGAAGGAGGAAGCGAAGGGATAAGTTTTTTTAATATACATGCAGACGAGAGCGAGCGTCGGGGGTGAAAAGCTGTCCAAGACGTTTGTGCGGTCCATCAGACGCCCGACCGGTAGCATTTTCGTATATATCCTTATACGGGAAAAATGTTCCAGGTTCATGGAATTGTTCTTGTTCCATGTATAACGGATTTCAATTTCAAAGGAAAAAAGATATTCGTCCTTGGTAAAATATTTTTTATTTGTAGTACTACAATAAGTATGATTACTGCTACTTATTTGAAACCAATATTTCACTGAACATTGCTAGTGTCCCATATAGAAAGAATAAATATGAAACCAAAAGGAATAAGAAAATAAAAAGAAAGAGAGAAAATAAATAAATTTGGAAAAGAAATGCGTAAAAGGTAATGGCCCGGGAGAAGTCCCGTACGGGTGCACTCCGCCTGGGCCGAACAATCCTGCTGGGCTACGGCCGCCGCCGCATCCGACATCCTGTCACCCTTCATCAGCCCGCGTGCGCTCTCCTCTGTCTCTCTCCCGGTCTCCCCCTCTCCTGCGACGACAGGGTGGGGCTACCGCCGCCGCCGCCGCCGCCCTACGCAGGTGCCGAGGCCTTCGTCGGTCTCTTCGCCGTCGACGAACACCCGCTAGGTACTCCACCCTTCTGTTCCCTGCCTGTTGTGCGAAACCGAAGCTCCCAAACTCTTAACCTAGAGCTATTTGGCTATTTGATGCCTTTAATGGGTCCTCCCGTGAGTGCTGATCTGACGATACTGTTTCTCTGACTGTTCTGTTACCTTGCATTGTTGTTGAATTGTGCAATTTAGAAGATATAGTGGGGTTAGATGTTGGGCCGATTATGAATTTATGATAGCCTAAGCTGGTATTAGTTTTGTTTGGGGTCCTAGAACATTGAGCTGATGCTGTGTGATGTGTTTGTTTGATCTAGATTTCCGAATTGATGATTCCATGAGTCATGATCTGTTTTATCAAAAAAAAAAAATTAATGATATGTTGTTGATCTTGTCATTTTTGTGCTTCAGAGATGCAGGACAGAATGAGACGGCAGGGGCAATACGGTGAAGCAGATATCAACTCTATGGTTGCTGCCCAGTTGCATCACTACCAGGCACAGCAAAGGGTACAGCAACACCCTGAGAATAGCTACAGTGGAAGAGACCCTGCGCAAGCTTCTGGGGAGCATCACTACACTCCCCCGAAGGTGAGACAGAGTCAATGGGATCGAGGTGGACCAAACGTCCCAAGCCAGGTTCCGTCATATGCATATAACGAAGGCATGTACTGCTGCTTAATTTGATAATTTTACATCTTTTCTTTTTCTTTTTTCAAATAGTCCCTTCTTCATCTCTTGCAAAATATAATACTAGTTGCAGTTGGACACCCTATATCTTTGATTGGAGGGATAAAAAACTATTACTTACTACTTACAGTTCTGTAATATCATGCTGACTGTTAGTGATACAGCCCAAGGTGCTGGACGTGCACAATCCTTTTACGATGGCAAGAGATCTGATTCAAAGGTTGGTCTAGAAAAGCAGCCCAGCAAGGAATCTAGGGACCAACCTCATACTGACCGGATTGAAACAAGATACGAGAATTATAATCTTCCTCGGACATTTGAAGGTCTTGAACAAAGTTTTCACGAAGACATTATTTTGCTATCCAAGGAACTACAGGATGCAGAGGATGCTGAAAATTCTAGGCACATGGAGGTATGCCAAATGCATAGTATTTTTTTCTTTGGTATGTGAATACTGAAGGTATGGATGATTCCACCATATGCTGATCTAGCAAGAGTAGTATAGCAGTATAAAGTATTAACAGTTTGTCATTTCTCCTCCTGATTTTTTGTTTTAGACTAAAAGGCTTTGTTGTTGCTTGCTGTCATTATCCCTCCTCTCCCCCCCCCCACACACACACACACACCACCACCACCACCACCACACACACACACCCACCCACCCATTGACATGAGGTCTTTATCCATTTGTCAAGAGGATTTAATATCATTGTCTATTTCAATTTTGGTATGTCTGGCCATGTGCAAGCGGGTAAACTGCTACTTTTATGCCGCTGGGTTTTCTTTTTGTGTCTTGTAGGTTGGTCTATTCTATGCACATTCTCAATCATTCTAACATATCAGCTTAGATCCACCATTATTTATATTAGTCACTAAGTATGCCTAAGCAGATTTAACATTCAGTTCTTACCTATACAATGTATATAGAATATCTTGTTCAGAGAAGTATGATAATATATCCTCAACTAGAAAGTTAGCATGGCTCACATACTAAATTCAAATGGTTGTCTTCCCCCTCAGGCTTATTTGGATACATCCTTTATCTCCCAATTTTCATTTGGATTGGAGTAGAAAATGAACTAATTTCCACTTAAATCCCGCCCAATATGTATGGGTTGGAAGAGATTATCATGTTCCCAAATGAGGCCTTCATATGGTTGTCCATATATTCATTGGCTTACACTATTGTTGTGATTTAAGGGGTCTTCATGGTTTGATTTATTTCTATAGTAGCGAACGAATCAGCTATTTGAAGGTGTTGATGCATGAACTCAAATTCCGTACTTCACTTAGAAACATTGTTGTATGCTTGATAATAAAGGTATGAATTTATAATAGTCAACGTGTTAACTGTGGAAAATGGAAGTTGCCACAAGGATATAATAAAAATGTTGTCACCCTCACAGGACTCTGGAGTCTGGAGTTAAATATGGTTGAGCAACATCTGTTTGTAGTTGTGATCTATTGATTCAGTAGTTTTATACATTTATTGAACTAAGACAACCATCATTCCATGTTTCTTATGTCTGTCTACAGAGATTGAAGGAGATAAATACACAATACCAGGAGAAACTATTAGCACTTCGAGCTCGTCAAGCGAACTATAGAGATGAGTTCCTGCATAAGGAATCTCTAGCACGCCAGCAACAATACCAGCACGCCAGCATGAGCCATTATGCCAATAATTCCACGGCTGGGGAACAGCATGGTTATCACCCAACAGCATTGCCTGGGGAGCAGCACGGTTATAATCCTACATCAGCAGGCACACCTCCTGTTGCTGCTGGAGGTGCTTACGGAGAGGCTCATCGGGGTTATGCATCTGGCCAGTATGAATCCTTTAGCGATCGTCCAGATTATCCAGAGTTCCATGGTGGGGGCAGAGGTCGTGGTCGTGGTTCTGAACACCGTGGTCAATACCCTGGTGCTCGTGCTTATAACTCTGGTGGCCGGCAATTCTAGGTATGCTTTGAAGAACGATCTGTCGTCACTCTGTCAGGTGGGCTCATATCACCTGATGTCAGTGTGCCGTGCCTTGCGGTATTAGAAGCTTGGTGTTGCAACCTCCTGGAAACCTAAGCATTCATAAAACTTGTTCTACAGTTCGAGGTTACTGGTTTGAGAGCAATGAACTACTTTTATGGTTTTGCCAGAGTTCATTCTGGTTGTAATTTGTAGATGAACGAGAGAATATTGACTTTGCTGTTTCTCTGCTATTCATGTTATATCATCTCGGAAGCAATAAAATTTCAACCTCTTTATATAGTTTCAAAATGACAAAGCTATAGTAGCTTCTAGCATCAGAGTGATGATCATATGCCACTGATTTGCACTACTTGTGATTGTGAAACATCTACTTTTGAAAAGGCTAGTAAAAACTGATTCCGCTTATTCTGGCGCTTGGCACAACAGAAACCTGTAAAACAGGTTATGCAAACAGCGCCATATATAAACATCAGCTCTGCATATGCTGTAAAAATTTTCAGCGTAGTATGTGTTGGTATGCATCATTTAGTTGGCAAGCAATTTGCAGCGGCAGTCCTTCAAAATGCATTTTAACAATATCAAGAACATTCAACTGGGATTTTGCAGTGAAGTGGAACAAAAGAAACAACCTTTTGCACCTCTGGTACAACGAAGACTACTAAAATATATAAGTACTAGAGACCCAACTTACAACGACGAAGCAACTAGCTGTACACAAAGCTACTTAGCCCTTCAGATCCTCATCCGTTCTCTGTTTTTACTTCCCTAAAGTATTACAGGAGGATGCTCCAGACTCCAGCGAGGTAGTGGACATCTGTAGCCAGCAATCCTCCCTACTTACTTGCCAGCTTTTTCACTGAGCCCTTGGCCTCTTGAAGTTCTTCTAATACAGTCACAGCCTGATCCATGCCAGGCCTGCATCGTGCGTCCATCGACAAGCATTGCAGTGCGAGGGCTGCCATCTTCTGAGCCGCAGGAAGGGAATACTGGGAACCCAGCCTTGAGTCCAGGACATGGATGACCCTCCTCTTGTTGGTGATGTAAGGTCTAGCCCACTCCACCAGATTGTGCTGACCAGGCGGGCGGTTCTTGTCCAGAGCACGCTGCCCAGACAGCAACTCCAAAAGAACAACACCGTAGCTGTACACATCGCTCTTCGCGGTCAAATGGCCTGTGTACCATGAGGGTAAGCAATATAAGTTGCCGTAAATTATACATATGCATATCATTTGATTTGACTTCTAACATTAGAGCATGTGCGAAAATTTGTAGGTTAAAGAACAAGTTGCAAGCAATTGAGTAATCAGAATGTGTGTGTTGACTTGAGTACCACAATTCCTGATTTCATGGTAGTTCATACATGAAACCAGCTGGAGAATTTAGTATATTTTTATGGACTAACCAAAGGTATGGCAACCATAAAGTACCATTCAAGTAGCATAACGTGGTGCTTCAATTTTTCTCCTTTACAGGATGGCATACATCATACACTTCATTCTTTAGTTTTTATATCATAAGGCGCACATGAACGAGACAAGAAATACTAATCTATAAGGATAGTACAATGACATAGTGTGCTTCTTTGCCCCCCACCCCCACCCCCCACCCCTCCAAAAAATAAATAAATTATATGATAGTATATGAGTTGCTTTAAACAAATGGCCCATCAAAGCACAGTGCAAAACCATGACATATAAAAAATAAGTAAAGGAATCTAACTAAATGGCATGGATACAATCAGTATCCTTGTCTTGCAAAATATATGTTTCTCAGCTATAGAGATATGATGGAAGAATAAAAAAGAAAAAAATAGAAAGAGATACAATGAAATAAATAGATCAATAAAAAAGAAAGAGTTATGATGAAAGAACAAAGTTTCATCTACCCACTCTCAGTATAGCCATTATAATGCATCAAAATAACAGCGAAACAATATGATATATTATTGGCTGCCAAATCATGTTACAAAGATTACCTGTTGCAAGATATTCAGGGGCAGCATATCCTTGTGTCCCCATGACCCTAGTAGAAACATGACTTTTATCACCACTTGGACCGTCTTTTGCCAGACCGAAATCAGACAATTTTGCATTGTATTCCTGTAAAAGGTTAAATAAAGAATTTCGAATCTTTAGATAAAAGTTCATTTGAATTCCACATATTGAAAGAATGGTTTGCAAGCAGACCGAGTCGAGAAGAATATTGGAGGTCTTGAAATCGCGGTAAATAACTTTAGTCTGGTCGCCATGCAGGAAAGCAAGACCTCTGGCAGCTTCAAGCGCAACCTTCATGCGTAAGTTCCATGGGAGCGGTTGGAAGTTCGAGCTCCCTGTAATATCATAGCATTCAGTCCTTTTCATAAAGCAAGAAGCCAAGAATGAAGGGATATCGCAAAAGAACACAAGAGAGCCTACTCCTGAAAAGATGATGCTCCAAGCTCCCTCTTGGCATGTACTCATACACAAGAAGCCGTTGCTCGTCCTCCAAGCAGTACCCGATAAGTTTTACAAGATTAGGGTGGGATAACTGCCCTAGGTAATTGACCTCAGCCTGCAAAGTTATCGCAGATACAAATTAAAGCCACCTATGACTGAGTCAAACAAACACAACAGGAGTGGAGGGACACCAACCAGCCATTCTCTGTGCCCTTGGAAGCTGTCGAGCTTGAGCTTCTTCACCGCGACAATCATCCCAGTGCCCGGTTTCACAGGCGCAAGCGTGCGCTCATCCATCCATCCCTTGAACACAGAGCCAAAGCCTCCCTCCCCGAGCAGGCTGTCCGGCCTGAAGTTCCTCGTGGAGCCTTTCAGCTCACTGAAGGTGAACTTGCGAACATTCGTCGACTCCAGGATCTCTGTCTCCGTACGGGGAGTTGGTGGCACCGACGACGAAGAGCCGGACGTCTTGGTACCGAAGGTGCTGGTGTCGGTTGCATTCTTGCTGCTGTTTTTAGAACCGGTCCCTGGATAGATTACAAGCATCTACTAATTTAGCAAGAAGGAAAGTTTGTTCCTCGTGATGCCATACTTCCAGAATTGAAGTGCTAGTGCTACTACTGCTTCTTTGGCTAATAAACCTCGCATTGTTACCATCCTGGAGGCGAACTACTCTCCTCCACCTAAAATTGGACAATTCCGCTCACTACCTCTGATTCAATATCCCCGAAATGGACTACTGAATTTGAATTGTTCTATTCTTGGAAGCGCAGAAAACATGGAGATTTTTTTTTTCAAATCCAGGTCGGCTATTATTTGGTTTTCCCCCAAGTGCAACAAAACGAATCAGTAAACGCTCCTACTCACATATCGGAAGCAAAAACAGAAGGTCGCTGCAACAATCAGAGTTAAGAAGGCGGACTTAAACACGCTGGCTCTCAGTAACGAGGAAAATGAGATTCTAGTACCTGACGAATTGGGGGCACTGAAGGAAGGGTTGATCTCGGCGTTCCCCTCCACGCCGGCGCAGTTCCCCATCAGGAACAAATTAAGATGCCCAGCACGAACGAACGAGGCGGCAGCGCGCGGTGCTCCCTGCTGGATTCCACCGAGCTCAGCTCTCGCGGCAGCGCGCGGGGAGGGAGCTAGAGGCAGGCAGCTGAACGTCTGGGTTTATTTGCCTCGTGGTGTCATCCTTTGGCTGCTCTGCTGGGTTGGAAGAAGTAGAATAATGGCTGCTGCTGTGCTGGCCCGGCTGGCTCTGGCTGACTCTGCCCGCCTGCGAGCGAGGGTGGTGGAGGTGGTGGTGGGAGCCGTGGGGTCCGTTAGCTCATTAATGGACGGCGACGGGCAAGGCCGCCTTTCCGTCTCGTCTCCCACTTCTCTTTTCTACCCCTAAAATTTTTTCTTCCACGCGCTTCACGCCTTCGCCTCCTCACGTCTTCAGGTTTAGCCGTTTAGGTATTAGGAGTACCAAAAATTTGATTTGTTCCATCCGAAATTGTATGATGCCACACCAATTGAACGTTCATTCAGTTTTTGAGTTACGACTATGTCAGAGAATGTTCTGATTCTTCTTTAATGTAAACTCACACGGTCTTTATGTGTGGGCCATGTGTTAATTTCAAGTCTAGACTAACGGTATTTGCTAGCGTGTGCAACCTTGAGGTAAAATGCCTGAAGTTCAGATGAGTGTGTGTGTGTATGTAAACGTTTATACGTGTCTTAAAGGAAAATGGCTTCAAACAGACTTTTATATGGTTATTAAAAGTTAGACAGCATAAAAGGTTTCGCTTTTCCTTTTTGAAAAACAGGCACACCGCTCTTATCCAAACATTGTACCTGGGAGCCCCATTCGGAAATATATAGAGATTTATTTATACTAGAATTGACCGCTTTTTTCCTTGGTTATTTAACCCAAATCCATGCATGGTCATATTTGGTAATATTATTTAGGGCTCAAACATTAGGAAGTTAAGACATCAGGAAGTACATTGTTACATATCAGTGGTTTTATGCAAAGCTTGTAGGGCTTTCTTAAAACATTAGTCTCAATAAGTTAAAATTTAGGATTACGAGAACTCTTGTACCCACTATATGAATTATGGTTGTCGTACTACTTTTATTATAAACCCAAGTTAACAATTGCAAGTTATTATTTCGAGACAAATAAAATTATAACTTATTGTACAAGTTGTCCATTAAACTGGTTATGTATTCCATAGCACTACATGAGACTGTTTATAAGACAAACACCACCCCCTAATAAAAACATAAATCCCTGCCCTTCATTGGATTTACGTGGTCTTTAGCTTAAGTAACTTGAAACAAACATCTTTCCTCAAAAAACTCGAAACGAACATCTGGATTTGCGAAGTATGTCTGGGAAACATACTATATATGAACGAAAAAACGGGATTCCAAACTGGACAGCTACAGCTGCGTTCTTTTGGCTTTAATGATGTACATACACATGCATTATTTCCACACAACATCCAACAAGACGCAATCACACGTTATCAGAAAAAGAAGAAGACGCAACGCAATCACAGATCCAGCGAATACACAGTGCGCGATGGGGATGTATATCGTAGGGCCCCCGGCCGGTGCTGCTGCACTGCACCTGTTTGACTAACGAGGCTCGGCTAGGTTGAAAGCGGCGGTGGTTGGAGCTTGCTTGGAATTTAGCGCGTGCCGGTGCCGATCGCCACCCCACGACTCGGCCTCACCCTCACCCGCGCTGTTTGTTTGTTTGTTGCTCGCCACCTACGCGCGACTCCCTCGAGCCGCACCGTATGCCCCGACGAGTCTTCGCGGATTGACAAGTAGTCGCGCGCCGAACGCGGGAGCGCGCGCGCGCGGAAGTCGCCGCAGAAACGTCACGCGCCGCGCCATTGCGGGCAAGTGGTGATGCGGTCTAGTGGCCGTGGACGCCAATCTCCGGACCGGAGGGCGTCGTCGCTGGAGGCTGGAGCCTGGAGGCGGAGGAGTCGTCCACTGGACTGGACCACTGCGGTTGTGGCTGGCTGGCGAGCGTCAGTCCAAGTGTAGGGCTGCCATGCAGTGCAGGGCTGATGTCTGAATTTTGCCGATTATTGTATGGGGAAAATGAGAAACGTGTTGGTATACGCGTGTGTACGGTGTCCTGTACTCCTGTACCAGCCATGGCAGGTACTCCTAACAGGCATTCGCATGTGTTTAGTTATTTCAGAAGCTTCGAAGCTTAGCAATATATCCTATTTCCGTTCCACGCTGACGACAGAAAAACCGTTTGTTAACAGCTTGAAGAATCTTGCTTCCAGCTGCGGTCTCGTACCAGTCCATTCCTGGGCCTGGTTTATATCTATCTCATCGGAGAGGACTGATTTGCCACCGTGGTGCGGATTTTGTGGGAAACTGATCCGTCGTGATGGATGGAGGGAAACGTTGGCCTCTGTCTGAAGACTCAAAACAGTGCGAGATTAGACGGCGAACAGCTCCGATACATCTTGCAATGCCAGCCCTCGCCAGAAAAGAAGATGACACGGCGCACATGAAGCGTGGCATCAGATATTCAACTAGAAAACGAGAGCAGTTAATTCGGGTGGCCCATCGCCCGTAGTCGGGGCGCACAGGCTAACGACCACCGGCACGGCAGCGGCAGCGGCAGCGGCAGAGCCAGGCAAGTAGCCAACGGGCGACACTTCTCTGACGGTCTGCCCCTGCCTCATCACACTGCGGGAGATGCATGCATCTGCAGATCTGCCCCCTGGCCCCTGCTTCGTTTTCGCCTCCGCTGAATGGATACTGGCGCTCGGGCGAGGATACCGGCCGGGTCAAGACGGGCGCGCCTCGCGTCCGCCGGCCGAGATGACTCGCTAGGCGCTAGCTAGCTGCCTTCATCGGAGTTGCTTTCAGGCAGGACAGGGACGGATGAGCCCCCGGCTCGCCACAAATGAACAACGCTACAAGCCGTGTCGAAAATTCTGCTGCTGCTGGTATACGTCGATTGGCAGAGATCACCGGACTGACGCATTCCATTTGCGCGTCGCCACGTACGTACTCGTGTAGAGGAACAGGTTGATGTCGACAGAATCCACATAACAGATTCATCATCAGACACTACACTAGGATTTTTTTGTGTGTATGTGTGCAGCGATCAATGTATGCTTACAGTCGTCGCTGTAGCTTACGATAACAGCGATCGTCCAAAGGCCATTTAACTTGGCGATGGTGTGGCTGTGAGAGAGAGCGCGAGAGAGTCTGGCAGCGCACCACAAAAAAAGCGTGACAGCCGGGCGATTTTGACTCCGGGAGCAACCGCTCTTCGAGAGCGAGACCGATGACGGCAGCGACGGCCGACGGCGACAGGTGACGCCGACGCTCTCCTTACCAGAGAGGGCACCATCGCCCACCGTTGACTCGTGCACTGCTCCTGCACGGCATGCATATTCCTGGACAAAACGGAAACTATAGTAGAGACTTGGAAATTGGGAAGGCCCGTCGGAAGCGTTGGCCCAAAAATAACAAGATAACTGGGCCTTCAAAGTTCGCTTCGGCTTTGGGCTAACTTCCAGCGGACCGGATTGCCAAAAAGGCCGCCTTGCTGGCGTGCTCACAAGTGGGCTGAGCGTACAAGTCTGCGATTGTTTTATTCTTTTCTATTTTTATTTCTTTTTGCAAAAATAATTGCCCCAACAAAAAGGACTGTATATTTTTCTAAAAAAAGGACTGTACATTTATATTTCCGTTGCCAACTGCTGTTTGGCAGGACTCCATAGAGATTCTCTATGATAATCACTCCTCTTGATCCAAACAACAAAACTTTACATAGATTCTTTTATTTTCCGATCACACAAACTTTACATAGATTCTAGTGGGGAGCAGACAAGGGTCACTTTCTATTTGGAAGCTGTAAGCTCAAAAAAATACGCTTCTCACTATTCCCTGTTCAATCTCCGCCAGAATCATGCTATGAATGAATTCTCACCTCCTCCCCACCTTGCTCCCTCGTCACAATCAGTTATCGATGAATCAAGGTAGCTAGAACTAAAAATCAGGGAGTGGCCAAATAGGCATATGGCGATATTAACATATTGCCACCAACAGAATTTCCCATACCACCTACTTGAATGGCGGAATTTTTTTTTTTCTAGACAATACGCCTTAAAATCATAACATTCTCATGAATTTGGATGAAGATAAAATTTATATAAAAATTATAGAGCTTGATAAGATCTACAATTTTTCTATTTGAAACCATATATTGGTGCCAAAATAAATCAATCTAAGATATGAATCCTGTATTGAATATCTCAACACCAATATGGTCTCAAACAAAATTGTTGTGAACTATAAAATTATGTATCTTGTTGAGAACTATAACTTTGATATAAAATTTACTTTTAGTATAAATAGAAGCATACCCCGTGTGTTGCTGTAGGAATTGGAGATGATTTAGAATGTTATAAATTAATGTTAGTGGATTGTGTGGCATGTTGACATGGATAGCAAAATGCTTGTGTGGCTTGCTAACGTGGACATCACAATTGCATATGCTATTGAGTTTTAAATTGCATATGATATTGCATCGCTGAGGTGGATGATTGTATGTTGAGACATATCGCTAGTGGGGTTTAGAATTATAAGATATATATAGAGATAGAGTGATAGAGATTAATGTTAGTGGATTGTGTGGCTTGTTGACGTGGATAGCAAAATGCTTATGTGTCTCGCTGACGTAGACATCACAATTGCATATGCTAATGAGCTTTAATTGCATACGGTAGTGCATCGCTGAGGCGGAGAGCTTTTATGTTGAGACATATCACTAGTAGGGTTTAGAATTATAAGATATATAGATATAGATATAGAGATGGAGATAGAATAATATATGAAACTAATATATAGATATAGATATAGAGATGGAGATAGAATAATATATGAATAGAGGTAGAGATAGAGATAGCGGCAGATTTATAATTTATATTTTTTTATTTTAAAATTCTTTTTTATATGATCTCACATGAAAGTAAAATTTATATGAAAACAACAACTCC